CCGGCTGGACTGGCATGGACCCGGCTGAACCGGCACGGAGCCGGCTGGACTGGCACGGACCCCGCTGAACCGGCACGGAGCCGGCTGGACCGGCACGGAGCCGGCTGGACCGGCACTCTGACAACACGGAGTGGAGCAGAGGCTGTGTGACCCTGCACAGTGCCTGCCAGAGCCAGCGTCACACGCAGCATGAAACGCTCCATCCCCAGATCCGCGGTGCCTGACGCAGGGGGAACCCTGACCCCAGAGAACTGCACCGCAAGCGTTATCACACACTGCTAGAGTTGGTCCAGGCCTAAGAGTATAATGGAATAAGTTACTCAAATGTTAGGCAAGCTCAGGATTTAACTTAGAAGTTTGTGATTATAAGAAGCACTTTACAAAATTAAATACCTTCAGAAATACTAATTTAGTTTCATGACATCCCAGTGAAATATCAATTATTGTATTTATATTATCCAAGAGAAAACTTCAGGCAATAATTCAGTATAGTACGGAACTTCACTGCAAGTCCTCTAAGGCTGTTTACCAATGTCCTTCTTGGTTTCATCCTTCCTCTTCTACTCCTGGCTTTTATACTGGAAAAAAAAAAAAATTTTTTTGTGGGAAAGAGCACATAAGTAAAAGTTCATAACATCAAGGACATACAACTCTCCTTCATGATCCACATAAATTTATGTCCATTTTCTTTAAGTTAGGTTGAAATTTGATAGGCTTTCCCTTTGCAGTACAAAACAAATCAGGTGCAGTTACTGACTAGATTGTACCTGCTGGGATTCGGTTACTGATAAAATATGATAATCTGTGACTAATCTGTGCTTGCTCCTGTAACAATTCTCATTTGGATTTCATGGACTGGCAGAGAGAAGGACTTAGCAGTCACTTAGTAAATTAAATCATAGATATTTAGAGATCAAGCTGAACTTTTGACTTGTTTCATTATACACCATGTTAAGGTATCACACTCCCCAGCCAGACTGAAATCCCAGGAAGCACAGGTGACTCTCAGCTGTCTAATAGAAACCATCCTCATTCTTTCACCTGAGAAACCAGTCTGACAGCACAGGGGAGCTCAGCACCACAGCTCTGCCCTTGTGTGGTCTGTCCCTGATCTCTGCAGCCATGGGCAAGGTCTGAGGAAAAGCAGCTGTAGTTCTGGAAGTTCATGTAAATTGTCTGAAGACATCTGTCAGGAAAGCAGATGATGCATAGCAAGATGTGGTTTGCAAAATGCTGTATTTTAATTTTTTCTTTTATAATAGAGTGATACTAGCTGCCACTGCTGATATTTAATATAATTCTTCATGGAAACAAAGACTTACACAGAGACAAACCTAAACTGTTATTGGTTCTGAAAAAAACCCAACATTAGTTTAGACTGACAAAGAGAATTTTTAAACAAAAAGTGTCACAATCACAGATCCCTCCTGGCCAGGTATTTTCTTTCACCCAGACACTTCAACATGCAGGACAGCAATTCCCTAATCAGAACTTCCTTTCCAATATTTTCTTTTTTGTTCTGAACTGAAACCCAAATGCAGACAATCTGAAGCACTTACTTTATTCATCACCCAGTCAGCATCTTCAATGGCTCTCTTAATGATCTGCTGGATTCGCTCAGGATCATCTTCATCAGCATGGACTTTGAAACTCTGCAACATTCCAAATGTCACTGACTTGTCAACATAACAGTTGTCAAAATAAAGACCATGTTTAAATCTCAAAAAAAATATTTGTTGCAAATAAACTGCTGGTCTGAAAAGGTAAAACTACACATTGTAACACCTGGCCATCCTCTTCCCATAACAAATCTGGTCATAAAGAATTTCATATTAAGTATTCTACTCCTTTCATAGGTCAACAACAAAACCCAAAAAATGGAGAAAAGAACTTAAATTCAGAACAATTGAAATTGTCTGGTACATTAAAACTAGAAAGATACAGGCCAACAGGTATGATCATAGGCATGAAATTACTTCTATATGAAGTATGGAATTTGAACAATCAGATGACATTTACCCATATGGGGAGATATATAAATGACTGACATGGAACCAGTAGGTTTCAATATAAAAGATGTGTTTATGGAGTAAGTAATGACTGTTCACTCTCTTGACTAACACAAGAATTAGAGATGAAGCCAAGAAAAACAGGTTTCAGATTCAAAGCAAACAAAAAGAAATGGTCCTTCACACGCTCCCATTATAACCCTTCAAATGCAGCAGGGTGCCAAGCTCGCAGGAGAGCAGTTTCCGCGGCGGCAGGAGTTCGGCGGGCCGGGGCAGGAGCACGATCGGGCTGACCTGTCTGATGGCGTGCCGGTAGTGCTGGCGGATGGGGCCGGGCGGCAGGCGGCGGCAGCAGCGGAGCAGGTACCGGTACAGCTGCACCGAGCTGCGCACCAGCTCCGCCTCGGGTAGCGGGGACATGGCCGGGCCCGCCCTCGGCTCTGCAACACAAACAGGCACAAACACCGTCAGTTCCACCGACAGCACGGAAATCAAAGCGCCAACAGAACACAGCGCCGGCAGGCTGAGGATCGGCAATAACCTGCGGAAACTTTAGGTGAAACCCCAACATAAAATCAATGAGAACTTGCTGAGTTTATGGACAGACGGGGGTTGGGTGCCACTGCTCAAGGGAATAAAACACAAAGTGTGGAGCTCGCTCCAGAGGATCACTTTGAGATGGGAACAGCTACGTGTGCCAGTGTCGTACAGAGAGCCAGTGTAACTTTCTTTGAGTACCCAGACCTGTATCACAGCCCACAGCGAGGTTCCTACTAGCTAAGCCAGGATCCTTAAAGTCCTTCAAACTTCCAGTGCTTTCCTTGAGCATCCCTAGTTCATCCACATGGTGTCCTTTCAGAATGAGGATACTCATAATGGCTACAAATGGTGCTGGAATTTAACAATATTTCCTATTTTGTCATTCTGTCAAGAATTTCAAGGCTTCAGCTGGAAACGACATGGATAAATAGAGGAGAAGGCAGGAAAAAACACTATTAGGTTTGAAATTTTACATGTATTGGTAACAGCAACAGGAAAAGGACAAATCTACCAAGTTTCACTTCCATAACTATACTTACGTATTGTAACAGTAAGTCCATCCAAGTCCTATAAAGTGCTAATCAAAGGCTGTAAATGCCTTGTCATTTAACAGATGGTTGCCATCTGCAGAGAACTAAATTAACATTTGGAAAAAAGCACTTTTACATCATCACTCTTAAGAATAAAGATAATAAATAAGCAACTGGATAATGAAGTAGGTACATGCCATTATTTTAGCACCCATTATGATAACTACTCATTATTTGGAATATTTTTTTTTTCTTTTTCATAAGTAATTTAAGTCCTTTACCCAAATGTATTTCAGAGTACACCACAACAGCTATTACATGCCTAGGCTATGTATTTGCACAGGCTAGATCTTATTGCAGTGGGGAAAATCTCCTCTCTATGCACCTATAAATGCCCATCATAATGGGATCAAAATAGCCCCAGGCTTCAACATGTTCATCCCTTGTTTTCTCCCAATGTTTTTTTTGTAAAATATCCTTTTCTCTTTGCACTGAAACCTGTGGTGGGTATCAGCTCCATGCATTTTTGGTTTGGATTCATTTCACTTTGGCATTCAAGTATGGGAGGTGATTACATGCCCAAGTCAGTCAGTTGAGAGATCCCTGCATTCTCCTTCCAGCAGCAGAAAGACAGGCCACTCCAAAATGTGACTCATAAGATATAGACTGAATTATTCCCTGCCCTTCTCTCCATGAGAGAAAGAAGTTTTTATCATCCAATACAGAAAACTGGAATATGAGGTTGGATTCAAGTTGATCTGAACCCAAATTTAACTGTGCATGCAGGTTTTTTGGGCTATATCCTTGGCTGGTAAGAATTGGTAGAATTGCACTGACCCTACGAACCTGGCCCTGCATTTCACATATTCCCACTAAATACAGTGAAACATCCCAAAATTCAATACAGATCCCATAATACACTTTTGGACCAGAGACAATTAGTAAAGTTGTTTCTAGGCTTTGATGTGTAAACCCATCATATGTCACTGTGCTCTAATTAAATCTAAGTGGTGCAATAGATTTCCTGTCACAAACACGAAGATCCCTCTTGTGCTGGGACTGCCCAGGACACCTTGCTCTAGCACACAGAAAAGCAGCTCTGGGAGAGAGGAAAGAACCAGTCACAGAAACATACAGATATGGAAAGATGAAGCTGATCAATGGAATTGAAAATGTTTCACTATAAATAATTAGGAATTTTCCACTGCAGTAATTTTTCATAGGAAAATGATGAGCTGCTGAATTCAAATTGTGTGACAAATACATTTGCAACTGATGAATTTTTTTGGAAAAAAAAAATAAATTCTTCGCCTTTCTATAAATACTGGACTTTCTAGAAGATTTGAAGATGGAAATTTTTACCCCATCTATTATCAAAACTAAACTCCTTCTATGAGGCTCTCATATTCAAATTAAAAAACCAAACCATCTGACTTCTGAGAGATTCACAGCTCCAAAAATGCTACAAATGCTGTGACATGGGCAAGCTTCACAGGGAAGTTTATCACCAAAGATCTGTGTTTTTCTTAGGATGTACCTTCATCCAGTGTAAACTTCACCGGAAATCTACCACAGCACATGGAAAACTTGTTGGCTATTTCACTACAGTGGCTGTTTAATAAGAAATAATCTCATGACCTGCCCATTATTAAGTTCTAAGACACTGGTGCCCTGTACAAGTAACCTCAACAGGGACTAGAACCTGGCAATAGGGAATGCTACAATCTGGACTTGTGCACCCCAGGGCACTGGAGAATCTGCACAGCCTCTGCCGTGATTTGCCCCTTCCTTGACACAAAAAGGACAATGAAGCACAGTAAGAATCTGCACTGTTGCCTTTTGTTCTAAAAACATCTCCCCTCAAATCCCACAAATGTTACGTTTTATCTGCCATGCAAAAACCCTCGACCTCACAAATTCTGGCTATAATCCTGACTAATAATGGAAATCTCCCTCTGATAATTTAAATATCACGCACAGCACAACAAACAAACTATCTACACCAGGAACTGTTGAGTCAGAAATAAAATAATCAGCTAATTGTGCTTTTCTGGAATGGATGACTGTATAATGTCCTAATCAGAAGGCTGAAATCACATTTGCATTTAGATAAAGCTCCGTTCACAAAGAGACAAGTATAGAAGGAGACACTTAGACTATTGTGGCAATTCTCTGCATTGCATAATCATTTACATTCCTGATAATCATATTCAGATAGTGAAGCAAAAGATGACCAAAGCCAATTAATCTTCACTCTGCATTGGCAGGTTTGGCAATTGACCCCGTGCACAGCAGAACCCTGATGAAGCTGAGATGATACTATGCCACTGCTATGAGTTTACTTTTTTTTCTACTGTTGTGTTTTTCCAGCAAATCCCCACAGTTCAGCAGTTATGATCCCAATCCCTCTGAACTAGTTAAACAGCCAACAAAGCTGGGCTCCAGAGACTAGAAGTGTTAATTAAAGGACTGCAAGAGTTACCTGAGCTGTTGCTGCTTACAGCTTGGCTCCCATTTCCCCCTCTGCCCTCTCTTTCCCCAGTATCCAGGCTAGAGATGTGTTATACTACTTTGAAGTATTACACCCTCAGAAGTCTTAACTCAAGAATTTATGATTCCCTATCCTTGTCAAACCTCATGATCTCAGGAAAAATAAGAATGCCAAAATAAGAAAGACACTGAAAGTCTTTTGAAACCCCTTTAACCGCAAAACATCTTAGTTCATGTTGTGACATCAGTCCAGGAAGGCACCCAAGTGAACTGCTGCTGTCCAGAAGGTTCTTACTCTTTGGTCACAGCCGTCCTTCCTTCCAGGTTTCCCAAATTCAGGCCTGTGAGTCCCGGCCCGAGCCTGCAGCAGGGGCAGAACCTGCTCTGGGACACAGCTTCTCTCGCTGCTCGTGACACAGTCACAGCTCCCCTCAGGCCCCAGTGGGTCCCAGGAGCGCCTGGCACGTCCAGGGCAGTGTGAGGGGCTCTGCTGCCCCAGGCAAACCAGCCAACGTCTGTCTGTCCGTCCGTCCCTGCCTGCTCGCAGCCACTTGGGTTCGGAACGCTTGGCAGCCCCGGGCACGGCTGCCCTGCAGCCCCAGCCCTGCTGTGTGGGTGAGCACGGACAATGCTGCAGTCACTTCCCAGCAGCCACATCTCGCCGGCTCTTACTGAGATCTGCGCGTTTGATGTGATCGCTTCTGACGAGCCGGGGCCCGGCATTGTTGGGGTTTTGTCCTTTCTAAACACGAGCTGCAAAATCCCATTGCATGAGTGATGGTAGCTGGGCCTGTTCTGCTCCTCTCCCCTTTATGCTTTGATTGATGCATGAGGTGACTGTGCAGAACAACTTGGGGGCATAGCCCTTCAGCATAAAATTTCCTTTACACAATATTTACACTGTGGAGCACATGAAGGATTAAGAACTGGCAAACGACAGATCCCAAAGATCTCTTTGTTGACAAGGAGTCATTGCTGCTCGGACACCATTCAGTTCAACAGCATCAGGATCAGGCCTAATGCTATTCAACAATGTCACCAGTTTGCAAATATAAAACATAATAAATTATAAATATAATATAAATACAAAATATAGAATTGCAGTTGATAAAACGTGAGAATGACAGAGTGCTAGAGCTGGGCATAATGACCAGTTGTATAAATTAACCAAAGCCACAGGGCAGATGTCTTACCTTACACCCTGGTTTGGTATCACACAGCAGAGACATGCAATACTGCAAATAAAATACTCAGGCTTTTGCAATCCTACACCAGTAAGGAAACATGTTGAGGCCAGATTACCTTGTTCTGTATAATTAATAAGCATGATCAGACTAATTAGAGTAATATTCTTTGGTGCATGCTCACTAGTGAGGACAGGAACCTCCCCGGTTTAGGTACAATTCAAACTTCTCCACTTTTTTTCTCCTGAAAATGATTCTCCTGGCTTAAAGGAAATTCTGAAAGGCACAGTCTGAAAAGAACTTTTTCTTCCCAGCTTTGAATTGGTCAGTTGAACTGCTGTTAAAATTAATTTTCTTCTCAGTGGCCAAATCTGTATTTACCTTTGTGATCATGCCTGAATAGGATTTATCAACTTTAAACCAAAACTGCTTGTTCATTCCTTTCTTTCTTGTAAATATTGTATTTTGAAATGTTCCAGTGCTTAGCTCCAGTTCAGCAATTGTGGTTCTCTCAACTGCTTTAAGCCAGTTAGTGCAACAACTTTCTAGCTGAGCTTGTATCACCTTCTAAAACATCTAACTGGGCACCAAATAAGCTGCCACAACTGTTGCTGACGGACAGAGACCAACTTGGCTGCATAAGGCATGGAAGAGCCTTTGAAGGGAAAAACCACACTGTGTGATTAATGACCACAT